TGTCTCCCTTATTCTGACTGCATGATGCAGAAGTGTAAGCAAAAAGCTGGCCTGAACAAGGCATTCCTACTTACCTGGTTCCTCTTACCAGTCAGGACCACACAAATACTTAACAGACACCTGATTATTGACTCTTATAACTAAAAAGCCAGGGAAATAGAGCCCTCCTCAGGTCTGAAGCACCAACTATTTTAGAAGTCTGTCTCCTCCCATCACTCTTCTGTCTTCCTTCTTTCTCAGGCTTACTTCCTCCTCATAGCTTCTTATTCCAGCAATTCAACCCTAGGTGCACTACTTTCCCAGATGTTTCAAGAAGCATTCTTATTGGTCCAGCTCTAGTCACTAAACCAAAAGCTGTGCTTTGATTGGACAGGCCTAAACCGAGCTCCAAGAATTCTAGTAGTGTTGTCAGTCCCAAAGTCCAAGATTGTGCAAGGGCACTTATCAAAAGAAAATGAAACCATAATTAGTAGCAGGGGGAACAATGGATGCTGCAGGCCCAGGACAAATAGGACACCAGTGAGGATCAAGGGAAAAATTTTAAGACTGTTAGGGTTTCCCAGCACAACAGAGAAGCAAAAGGAAAGAAAAAAGTGTTCTTTATTGAGGATGTGAAGAGTAGCACAGGACTCATGAGGTTGGGCATTTCTCCTCTGACCAGAGACAAACATGTTGGGAGGTTGTTTTGTTTTGTTTTGTTGTCTTTTTCCTTTTAATCGGTACCAGGGATCGAACCCACGACTGCCTGCTTTCAAGGCAGGCGCTTATGCCGCTGAGCTAAATCCCCAGCCCCCCCCCCCTTTTTTTAATCTATGGAGGTTTTATGACCCCTGGTCAGCGGTGGAGTTTTGGGCAGGCGTTGATGATGGGCGAGGAACTGATTGGAGGGAAGGGAAAGAGGACGCTGTAATCAAGGCTGAAGGGGAAGGAAGAGGAAGTGGTCATCAGGGTAAGTGTCATTTTTGCTTTGGCCTTCTGCCATGTTAGACCACCACCATAGTGTCCAGAAATCTTTCAGAGACCTCATTCTTAAACTCATTCAATCCCTCATTTTATGCTGCTCTTAGCCATATGTGCTAAGCAAGCAAAAGACAAAATGTTCCTTATACCCTGTGATGGTTAATCATGATTCAATCTGATTAGATTAAGAGTTCCTAGCAGATTAGTAAAACATGCTTCTGGGTGTGTGTGGGGAGGGGGGTGATTAATATCATCTGGTCCCTAGCCCCTTCCTCTCAGGGCTCCTCTTCTGCTGCTTCCCAGCTGCCCTGAAGGCAACATCTTTGCTCATTTACCACTTCTGGCCAGGTTTCTGCTTTGAAGCCAGTCAACCATGGCCTGAATGTTCTGAACCTGGGTGCCATAAGAAACCTCTCTTTGAAGTCAGATATTTTGTCCCAATAATGGAAAATCTAATACATAAACATATTCAAAAATATATCACTGAGGGCCTGAACTGTCCATCATAAGAGAGTCATTTCTTTAGGTTAGGCAGGAACATCTGTAGGACTATTTCCATTTTTTATTCTTTTTGCCTGTTCTCCAAAAACAGAGCAAATCTTTAAGTCAATAAGAGTTTCTGACACACATATCCTGATGATGATAGTCGAGTCAGTCATCTTTAGGGCCAGCACCTGTTGGAAGCTTTATCCCATAATAAGATGTGGTATGGCACAAGGAAGCAGCTGCAGGAAGACAGCAAGACCAGCGACCAAGACAGAGATGTACAGCATGGAGTCCCCGGAAAGAAGGCAAACTGTCGAAAAGGAGATATAAGATACTAATCAACTTTTACTTAATCGTTTATGGATATTTAATAAACACTGGTTTTCATCAATTTGTGTAAGTTCTGTCATCTGGGGAATTTGAGATAGTAACCAGTGAGTAATGAAGCAGCAGGAAGAATTCAGGATACAGCAAACATGGAAATTCCCAAACAGGAGCACTCGGAGAACACACGGCATCTGGGCAGCCTTAGCCTAAATTCTGATGATCAGACCACAAGAAAAGGGATGAATCCTTCCAAAAGCAAATCCTCGGGTATTTGGGTTATTGGCATATTTTGAAAGTTTAATTTGCCTGTCCAGCGAGGGTTTAAAACAATAAGAGAGTTATGAATTGTGTGTCCTTCCCAACCCTAGAGGAGAAAATTAATCTTTAAACCACAAAATAAGTCAAGTGCCCCTTAAAATAAGCACTAATGAAGACAAATTTTCCATCCATCATATCCCACTAATTTCATCTTCCTTTTTGGGACTTTGGTTGCCTTTAGCAAAGAAAATATCTTACATAACTGAAATAGATCTCCTTTCGGATCCATCAAATCTCAAATTTTTTTATCCACTTAATAGTGATAAAGTAATGATTCTGTTATTAGTTGGAAGCCACATTTGGGAATGTAGCTGTCATTGTGTCACCTTATAATTGATCTAAACAGTTTCTGGAAACCAAAGGGACCTGCACCATACCTGCCAGTTCTCTGCTTTGGTGGCAGACAAGAGTCAGTCTTTACTGATAAGAGTTTAGTTAGTAAGAATTTTCCATATGTATGTTAATAATAGACTACAAGTCAGTTGCCTCAGACCAGCAACTGTGAAAACACTAATACGTAATAAGCCATGATACACTTTAAAGAGAAACCTGGGGGAAAGAGAAGGGACCTAGACCCTCCCTGTATGGGGAGAAGTCCTTGAAACAAAGAAAAAGCTTATTTTCCCACTATACTTAAGACTAAAGAAAAAGTAGACTTATGAATTGTGTGTTCCGACTAGGCCTAAGGGAAAAATCAACTATTATATCACAAAATTAAGTCAGGTGACTCTAAAACTTAGCTCTAACAAAAGCTATTTTCTATTATTTGTTTGTTTGTGATAGGGCATCACTATATAGTCCAGGCTGCCCTTGAACTTGCTATGTAGCCCAGGCCAGCCTTGAACTCGCAACTTGCCAGTCTTAGCCTCGCAAGTGCTGGGTTGTAGGCTTGTACCACTATCTCCAGTCATTAGTTATTTCACGACACTTTGCACATACTTGACTCAACTGGCTGCTGGTAGCTGCAGTGGCATCTCCTAACTCCCCTCTTCTTCACTGGCTCGACTGGGAAAAGCCTGCAGGCAGAATGTGGGAGACCAGAGTATCTGGGGCTCCCAGCAACTTTCTTTTCACACTAGCTACTTGTTTTAGATTCCACTGGCTACTAATAAGTCTTCATTCCGGCAGTAACTATTGGGATCAATGTGTTGAGAATCAAGTTCTGTACCAATAGGGCAAGCCCAATCATAGGCCAGAGGCAACTCATCTGAGCAAGGCACTACTGCGCTCCCAATCTGTGATCTAAAACTCAGAGCCCTCCCAGTCTGACTCTCACCCAGCCTTCAAGCTGACCGCCACAGGCCCCTCAGGGACACACCTGCAGGCCTTCTTCCCTGGCACACTCGCTCCTCTCCTCTATGAATCTTCAAACTGGGAATTTAAATGCTACAAATCAACAAATACCTTCTTACATCCTTCCCCGGCCTAAGAACACTGTAACTCTGCAAATTAAAATAATTTGTGGCAGGCTTATTAATTAATGAGTGCAATAATCTTTGTTTTGTGTGAAGCACTGTGACTCAGCGGGGTGGTGAATTCCAGGCTGAGCAAGCGCCAGCCCTTGAAGCCTGAACTCCTGGAGAGCAACCCCTTTCCAGTAACAACCATCAGATCTAACCACCGTGATAAAGTGTAACCTACATTGTGTGGAACAAGAAAATTAATTTCAACTAATAACCCAAGAAGACTTCTTGGAAGATGTGGGTCCATGAGGACAGTTACAGCCCAAGCAAAGGTGAAGTGAGCCGGCCAGCGCTGGAAAGCATCCTCCGTGAGATGGGAATCTGGATCTCGGCAGGCACACTATGGAATTTAAGACCAGATGGCTGAGTGAGAGACCAAGCAGAAAGGCTCTGTTCTAGACTCCAGAGTTTGGAAACACAGGAGCGCTTCCTTCCATGAGTTATCGTGACGCTGGAAACCTTAACGGGCCATAGCCATGGATTTTCAGATCCCTCCACATCGAAAGATGCACCAATCTTTAGCACATGCCGCCGGCCCTGCACGTGGTTGGTTCCGCACCTGTGGGACCCACACTTGTGAATTCAACCAACTACACCTCAAAAATATGTTGAAAAACATTTTAACACGTACCGAACATACACTTTACTTGTCATTACTCCCCAATACAGAGTGACACCTATTTAAACAGTATTCACATCTTATTAGGTGCTGCAGACCATCTAGAACATTCAAGAGGATGTGCACAGGTTACGCGAGGGGCTTTGGCGTTCCTGGAGTTTGGGGTTCCCCAGGCCCTAACACCAGTCCCCTGAGATCCAGGGAGATAAAGGTACAAAAGATACCCTGGTCCTTCTCAGCTGGCTCCTATCAATGACTTCTCTGCCTAAATTAAGACCTGAAAACTCAAGATCATCCCAAGTCGTGAGCCCCTGAGAAGCCAGGACTTGCTTCAGAGGACACAGGACCTCTCACTGAACCAGATGCCAGGGGTGCTGTGCCTCAGAGCCCAGCTCCGAGTTCCTCCACCTGCCCAAGCTCCACCAGCCCCTGCGCCCTGCAGGTCCAAGGGCCGGGGAGTGGGTATCATGCCCTGCGGGAATAAGCAACAACAATAGCAGCACGGGATGTTCTGGTTCTTCAAGCTGTCCGGGATTCCCAGCTCGAACACTTCCTGGAAACCTTTCTTCACCGCTGCTCTTGCGAAATCCAGCGGGCCCTCCCTCCTCTCCTGGGCTTCTTATACCCGCGGGAGCGCAGCGGGCGCTCAGCCCAGCTCCAGCCGCACTGCCTCCGCCGCGCGCAGAGCCGAGCCGAGCAGGACCAGACCTCCCGCAGGTGAGGCTCCCTCGCCTGCCTCCGCCCACCCTCTGCCCGGGTCCCAGGTCCGGGATCTCTGCTCCCTGCTGGCGGGCCCAGCACCCCACCCTGCAGAGGCCCTCCAGGCTGCTGCGCGTGACCCGTTAGGCGCTCGCGCGCTTTGCAGCTTCGCGCGCTTGAGTCGCTCCTCGCGGTCACCCGCGGTGCAGAGAGGCCTGCGGGAGGTCGGTTTTGATTCTGTGGCTCGCTTCTGGGGTGGTGCGAATCTCTGGTGCCGATCAGAAGGAAGACTGAAGAAATGTAGGTTGCCAGTGTCTCCCTTCTGAGGGTGATTATTGACCAAGAGCTGGAAATTTGTCCCAAGATTGTAACCTCTTTGATCTCGATCTAAATTTCCTTACTCAGTTTAAGAATTGCTTTTCGAAAGAAAAAATTGTTCAGACTGTAATTTACAGTGAAAAGAAATTAAAGTCATTTCTCTGTCAGGGACAGGTAGAAGGTAACTTTTCCCCCCTCTGGATGTTTAACTTGAGCACTTTCTTTGAAAGACGACCTCTGTAGTGGGAAATGAGTCTTATCATGGGAGAAGCGTGTAGAATGAGACTCCTGGATCCAGACAGAAGCCCGATATCCCAGGCCCAGTTTCACAGATGTAAATTGAAAAGCTGTCAGTCCTGAGGTCCACAGAGCACAGCGGTAGCAAGGTGAAAAGCCGTGTGACTTGAGAAGCCGAGTTTCGAAATGTGACAGAAATCTCATTAATGCTGCAGGTGTAGCTGAGTAATTACTTTTTCCGCGATAACACAGGTTCATTTTTATGAGGGAACTAGCCAGCCATGGAGGGAGAAGCGCTACCTGTAGGAGCCTCCTAAACCCTACCACATTTATCATTCAGAGAATGCTCAGCATTCAAAGCCATTATTCAGCCTTGCTTATGTGAGACTGTCCTATACTCTATAGATGGCAGTCATATAAATGTCACTCACAGGAAAGAACATTTTTTTCCAGTACAGTAGGTGTAATCTTGTAAAATGGCACATTTATTTGAAGTAGTGACTTTCTTGAGATACAGCTTTCTGCAAAGGCGCAGGTTTTCCAGAACGCTGCAGTTTGGCGCTGTGAGAGGTTCTGCCTGCACGCGTTGCACCGGCCAGGTGAGCACTGCGCCCAGGAAGCCCAGCGAAGTGCTCGCGCTGTCAGGCTCCAGGCTCGGGGCTGCAAAGCACAGGGTACACGTGTACGGAGAACCCGGGTGCAGGGCTTTCTCCATTCAGCAACATGGATGGTTTTGCTGAAGTTCAGGTATCAACTGGAGGCTCAAAACACAACATCTGCAAAGCCTGACCCTAACTGACATCTGCCTTGCTTACACTTGCTGATTGTTGTTTAAAAGAAGCTAAGAAAGAGTTTTATAAATCTGTAAGTAAATTGGAAACTCTAAATGCACAATGGTACAAACAACTTTAATTTGTCATAGATGAAACTGGAGCAGCCTTGAGCACCGAGTCTGTGTTACTGTATCTCTAAAAGACTCCTGAAGCCATCCTCCACTCAACAATACCCTTAGGAAACAGATGCAGGTTCTCCTTCAAGATCGGAGGAGCTGGTGTGCAGCCAGTCTCAAAGGCACAGTTCAGTGTCTTGTGACCTCACCTTCTCCTTCTCTTCCTAGGTAATTTAGATATTTTTATCCACTGCTATTGAGAAATCGTCTCCTAGGAAAATCCTAGGAAGGCTGATAAACTGTTAGCAAGACAAAAATGCAAGCCCTAATTCACAGCAGCCCTTCAAAGTTGGAGGGTTTCCTAGAGCACCTGGCAGCTACTTTTTCTAGATTTTCCCAGAGGATAAAGTCATTTGTAGTCAAAGAGACCACAGCTTGAGCTACCCATAAGCCCTGCTATGAGAATCCAGAATACACTGAATAATACATTTTTCTGAGCTTTGTGGATTTTTTTAAAGTTTCAGCTAGGAAATAGTGGAAATAAGATTTATTAAGACAAATGTTTGACTCTTCTTTACACATCCAACGGGAAGAATTCACTATGAAGACTTCCTGAAAAGTTCCACACGATATGTTACTCAAAAGTCTTCCTGTGTGTGTGTGTGTGTGTGTGTGTTTTAGGTTATTTCCAAAATGGCTTGAATTAACACTTGTTTACTTACTATGAATAAATCAGTTTTGCAAGAAATGAAACTAAATACCTAAAGGTTAACTAATGCTTAAAACAATGTATGATAATACTTGATCTATATGTATAAACAATTTGTTCTTTCAAAGTCATTAAGGCATTTGGAACAAAGAATGTATATAGTGTTTGAAGATCATCTTTCAGATGCAAAAAGAATATACTGGGCTACTAAAACAATCTCCATGCTAATGAAGCAGGAAGGACATTGATATCCTAATCTAAACTCTTCTCTGCAATGTTCTACAAGAGTATATTTAGCCATGTAGAGAGTCCCATATTGTCCTGGAACAGTCACATACTTCCGAAATTATTTTGAGAGGCATGTTTCCTTTGCATGTAGAAGTGCTCTGTGTGACCAGTCCTAATCTCACAATAGAATACAAGTTCACTTTTTTTATCTCAAAGGAAAATGTGCTCAAAGGGTAATTTTGAAAAGTAAGGAATTATAATTCTGAACAAAAAAACACCCAAGATGTGACTTAACCATATCACCTATTTCTTAAAGTTATTAGTAAAATACACTGGATATTCTTTTGGGCTCTCAACTGAAGAGAAAAACTGTAGAGTGCACCAGGGCTCGCTGCAGACCTACAGTGCATGTAGGAGTCCTAATAGGAAGGCAGAGTGCACAGTTAACACTGCTGATGCACCTGTCGTTTCTGCCTGCTCCTACTATAGAATGGAAACTGTAACCCTAAATTAAGTGGTGGTCAGCATAACTTTGCACAGGCTTTGGAAAACTCTCTTGTCCCGTTTCCCAGAAGATGAGTGTCCTTCCCCGGGGCTTCTGGCCACTCTGCACCTTCCCCTGCCCTGGCTCTTACACAGATCACTGGAGCAGTCTGATTATATGCTGCATCCTTGCCATTTCCAGGGATCCTAGAGTTCTGGCTCCATCTGAATTATCCCTTTATCCCCTTCATGCAACATAGAAGCTGTTCGGTAACTGTCTGCTGAAAGCATGAAAGCAGACCAAGTAATTAGTGATAACAAAAAAAAGTGTTTGGAAGTTACCAACCACCGTGGACATAGTAGATGGGCGTGGATGCTGCCTGCCCTGGGTTAGTTAACAGGATCAGAGAGCAACGCCAAGGTCCGGCTCCTGATTATGTGCCATTTGGGCAAATGTATGAGATTGTTTTGTGTGACACATTTACCTACAAGCAGCTTGAATTATTATGATTATTTTAAGTGGGAGGAACTGTAGGAAATTTGTTGTTTCATTTTCCTTTATTTTACTAATCCTATTATGTTACTGCCCCAGGTAAGTTTTTAAATAAATTTATAGTTATACTACTTTGTATTCTAACTTGTTTAAAGAGTAGGTTTGGGAAAAAGCAGTTTGATTGGGAAATGATTTATTGTACTTATTAATAAAAGTGTGCTAATTGCCCTACTTTTCAGGCATACTTGGAAAACTAGAAGATTGTGTTTGGGAATAGTGGTACACCAAGAGTTCCCTGTATCTATTTCCCTAAGGGAAACAAGAGTCTAAATGTATCAAGCTTACCGCCAAAATAGTCTCTGCCCTGTATGGACATAGGCAGGGCAGGGGACTTCAGCTAGGATGTGATAACCACATGAATTCCATTTTCATGTAGAACCTGGATGCCTTCCGCATCCAGAAAGGAGGTTTCTATGGAAAGAGATTCAGACGTCATGGACAGTCACCACCGGAAAACAGGAACACCCTGCTAGGCCAGTTATTTTCCCATCGCCAGGAGCATGTTGTCATAGCTTTGATGGGAAAGGGGTGACAGATAGGGAAAAAAGCCAGGGGTGCACTGCTACCAGGCTAAAGAAAAAGAGAAGTCCTGACTTGTAGCACTGGGTGATTCTCTTGATTCAAATACTCCTACCAGGGCTCATGTCAAGCGCCCAGCTTGCCAGATGTCTGCAAGTATGCCGCTGAACAGGGCTGAGACTAACAAGTCAGGCATGTATCTGTTTGTTAGAGTACCTGCTAAGCCTGAGAGAGGACCTGGGCTCAATCCTCAGTACCAAAATAAATAAATAACCTAGGAACTAAAAAATAGGAGCTGTTTAATTAGATTCATCAACTAGCACTGCTCTTGAGTTTGTATATCAGAGCCTAACTCAAGGATGCAGAGGGAGTTTCTCCCTTGGGGTAAAAAAAAAAATGCAACAGCCACATCTGCATTAGAGGTAATACTGAGCAACATGTCCAGGAGCCAAATAAGAGCTAAAGAAGAACAATACCTAAAACAAGATCAGAGAGGCTGAGAAGTCCCCAGAAACCTTCTGAAAGTAGTGAAGAGATACTTTGACACAGAATAGAGTTCCCTGCAGCAAGGCTTGTAGGCCAGGGTCAGATTCACTGCAAAACTGCTCTGTCCCTAAACTACAGAGGCAGTTGTCACATTTAGATTATTCCCAGCATCCTTGATATGAAGAGACATGCCCATTCATAGGAAGTTTTGTTTGAACAAAGTTAATTAAAATTATCAAAACATGTCCTGGATATCTCTGACTATAGTAGAGCTAGAAAAACAAAATCCCTAATTTGGCATTAAACTTTAAGTGGATTGTTGAAGATTGCTGTGTTAAACAAACGCTTATGTGATGTGTATAAACCAAATACTACAAAATCAGCCAGCTGGTGTGGTCTTCCTGATGGGGCTGATCTACTGGTCATGGTCCTGGTGCCAATCTTTGGTGAACCCCAGATTTGTGAGTTGTTCAGGATTAAAAATGCAGAGCAAGTCTACTATAAATTATCCCGGGCATGATTAGAGCTTGTTATCATGTGCAGAGGCCTAATCAAACAGAGCTAACCAGCCTAGACAGCAGCTAATAAACCTAGGCAATAAGATGCTTGGCCCCAGAATCATAAAAACACTTCCATTTACCTGGCCATGTGCTCCTCAGTAGCAGCAGGTATGAGTGAAATTTTTAGTTGAACTAGAGAATCAGTAAAAAACTGAAAGATAGCCCACTGTACACCTGGCTCTCTCAGAGGAAAGAGGTTACTAAGAGGATCAGCATACATGCCATCATGAGTTCCTAGCCAGTTCCTAGCAGTTCACGTGGAAGTATGTTCCAGGGGTGATCAGAAGTGCAGGATTTAATCTTTTAATTTATTGCAAT